TATGTTAATAGTTCAAAACCAAGAGAGACAGAATACTATCATAGAGGACAAAGAAATTTTCATATTTAAGAGGTTGGAAACCGAAATTCTCTTCGTGATTTTGCCCTGAAAAGTAAATTGAACCTTCACACGGTTTTCAAATTTTTGTCAATCAACTGATTAACTGATCTTTTTAGCTCTGGACTTGAGCAGAGAAACTTGCTTAGAATAGGTGATCTGTCACATAATCAACTAGTAAATTATATATCTATATTTTTTTGTCCATTTTAGGTTCGCTATCACTTGAACGGGATGCATTTGAAAATAATTCCTTTCCCAACCTTTTTAGAGTTTGTGAAATGATACAGATTTTTACAGCCAAATATTAAGACATATATACATATAAATAGTTATTACAAGCTATGATGTACAGCAGAAAAATCTCAAGCCTGGGAAATGTACAATGTGAAAAGATGTATTTAACACTAGAAAAGGTTGATATTCAATAGTTGACAGTATCAGAGCTTGAAAGCACTGATATCTAAACATGGACCCACAAACACAAAGAACCACAAAGATTTCCTTGTTTAAAAGTGTGAAAATATTTTGACATCATCTATGCTATGAATCATCTTAAGTGGGTCATTGGTCTTTTTGTCTTGTCTTAAAATGAAAGCCAATACAATATCCATTCCAGATTCATCTTTTCATTGTATTGAATGGTGAACGTGTCACGAGCAAAGCAGGAAATAAATGAGTAGCTTTAATAGCTCACTGGTGTAATTACAGCTTGAGTATATTAACATGCTTTTTTTTTTTTTCCTGGGCATCCCGAGATGTTTATGTACAGACAAGAGCAGTCCAGCTGATCAGTGTTGATCAGCATAATAAACATGATGAATGAGAGAATGCTGTTGTGATGAAATGCTGCTCTGGTAATTGTGAGCAACTGTTGACCTGTTTTTCTTGTCACATGTGATTAGTGCTTTTCTAAATACAGATTAGAGATTTCGCTGCCAGTGGAACAGGACTTTGAGGAATTTGGATTTTATATGATACAATTTAGTTCACGGCGGTTTGATCCCTGGCTTGTTTGACCTCTCCTGCAGCCAATCAGTTTGTCTCTTTATCCTATCCAGACTCACGCGTTAACCAGTGTGTGCATGCCTTTGTGTGGTTGAGTGGCAGAGCATTTATGCTGTGAATAATATTTACATAGCCCAGTGTGGACCACCAACTCTGCGCTGCTTACACAGTGGATCCTGCACACACACACACACACACACACACACATGCTCACAGACACTGGAGAATAAAACACAGAGAGCTGTCCAGTATGATCAGCTCTTATAACCTGGTTCCAGTCTTAAACAAGCAGGGATAATGCTATGCCAAGCATGTGACACTGTGCAGCCTATTCATTAGCCACGTTATCTTGGTACAATCGGTCCAAACAGTCGCCAAACAACAACACAACTCACAGCATCAGCGGCCAGCTGGAAATCAGAAAGGTGATAAGGAAGCAAGCAGCAAAAAAAAAGCACATGCGCTGACCACAGAGGCATGTACCACCGCAGAATCCTCCCTGCCACAGTCCTGGGAACAAAACACTGTAATGCAACATTAACATCTGTCAGACAGCAGGCTGCCACGCCATATGTCCTATATGTGTTTAAGTCTGCATGTCTAACCGGATGAAGTTGGATCATTTTTAGACTTTGCCTCTCTCCCGTCCTCATTTGCTTGCTCTAATTTGCTCTTGTTTCCCTATATCGTCATACCTTAACCTTTCATCTTCTCAAAGGATTTACATGCATGTATGTGTGATGGTAAAATCTTCAAAACAGGGGTGTAACAATACCGAAATCGAGACCGAAAACCACAATACAAACGTCCACGCTCTTTTGTCGCAGTGCAGAAACGCGAAACAACGCTACTCAGAAAGAGTGTCGCCATTCACCATGACATAGTTCATCCACCAGAGAGCACTGACAAGCTGATTGTTTTAACCGCTCAGAGTGTGCATTTCACTTTCTCGCTGTCCGTCATAATCTATAATTATCCATCATTTTACTTTTAATTTTGGTTAATAACGAATCATATCGTATTCAATAGCATTTCATTTTCAAAAACAACTCAGATTATGCATTTATGATGGAGAGAAAAGATGGGGACGCTGCCGGTGCGGCAACTTTTCATATCAACACCTCATAAGGCAGGTGAATTAATATTTTTTTTTCCACAATAACAATGGAGGGCACAACAACACTGCGGCCATTGTGCCTTAACGGGCAAATACGAACAATGTAATTTTAAATAATTCAACGATTCCAATTAAATTATGAACAAATTACTACTACAGTAAATCTTCCTCCATTGTTTTAAACTGGGTGCACGCATAAAGGGAGACTGCTGCAGAGACAACTGTCGTTAGGGTTTGCATCTTTGCCTCGGACAGACGACCTCTCATGACCGTAATTTTGTTCTGAAGGCTGAACCACAAGAGTTTTGAAGTTGTGGAACATTTCTCCCAGATAAGTGATCAGAAGTCAGTAAGACTCTCTGAATGTGGGATTTCCCCGACCACGCAAGCACTCGCCTCACCGGGTGGAAATCCTGCAGCACGTACTCCTTCTGCACCACGGCGCACAGCTGCACCCCTCTGTGTTGTGGTCACAGTCCCTCTGTCCGGAACGCGCTGTCACTGAATTCAGTCGACTCCACGATGTAGTCTGTGTGTGCGAGCGTGACGCCACAGAACCTGCCATCTAACTCTGTTCTAATCTGTAGAACTGACAGACGAGCCTTCAGATTTTTCTGTCAATTCAGTCAATGACAGAAAGTATTTGGTTAGCACGACCCCTGGTGTATATTGGTCACATTTTTCCCAAAAAAATGTATCAAATCATATCAAATGTGTTTGTTTAAATACATCGTTTTCAGATTTTTTTTCAAACTCCCAAATAGCGACGTTAATAGCGGGCGCAAAAATCCAGCACCGGTTTGGCTGTACTGCGAAGGATCCAGCTCTTTGAAGCCTGACTCTTTTTTTTTTTTTTTTTTTTTTAAACCTGTCTCTTGTAAAAGTTCCCCAACTTCATGCAGGGGAAATAATAAATCACCGGAGAACCCGTAAAATGATGGAAGCAACTTGTCCCTGTCCCGTGTTTTCCTAACCAACACTAACAGAATTCTTTATGTATTCTCTGATCTACTGAACCTTCACCAAACCCTGTGTCAGCTCACTCGGGTGTGAGGTTGTTTAGGCTCCTGTCACATACAGTGTCGTACCTTGTCTTGTGTAATGAGGGTCTTGTAGCTTTTGGTGCGCCATAAATCAACATCTCCCCTTTTTTTTTTCTTTTTTTTTTTTAGAGCTGACAATCTTTTATGAGGAAGGAGAAGTGAATAAATCTTCACCTGCAGCGTTGCAGCTATGTACTGATGAGACTACTGAACCGTTTATCTACCTGTCTGACAACTTCCTCTCCGGCTTCAAACGACTTGTCAAGATTCACCTCCAAGAGATTCACTTCCATCTTCAGGCTGCCACAGGCCTGCACAAAGGCACACACTGTATTCAACAACATCATGCGTCACTGGTGCAAAATCAACTGTGGATGCAGCCGAAGTCTACAGCAATCAGCTAGCATCATCTAGTACAGTCACAACCTCCACACAACACTAGAAGACAAAGGGAAGATTTGAAGAGAAATAACAACTTCAGTTTGCGTTATCTAATCTTACTCGTATTGTTATGCTCTCAGCTTCCTACAGATTAGATTGGAGGGTACAAAAAAAATGTACTTAGCAAATAAATATGACTCAAGACCTGATTTTCTTTTTACACCACCCACTTAACCGCATCAAGGATGAAAAAAAATATTGCAGTGGTTCATCTTCAAGTTGTTTTTTTTTTTTTTTTTTCATAGTGCTTGGATTTGGATGCACATGATGTTCTTTTTTGTCTATGCTCGAGTGTGTGAAAACATCCCACAGATGAAAATTATCCAGGCAGAATGTTCAGCTGAGGGGTAATAATAGATACTAAAACAGACGAGCAGCTGAAATCTGATTTCACTTGGACGTTTCGGCGTCTCCATGTTAAATTTAAATGAATGACTTTTTAGCACAAAATGGCTGCCAGAAAAATGACCTGAGAGATAGTATTCAATCTGTACGGTTACAAATGGTTAATGATGTTCATCTTCAACTTGCTCTGTATTTGTGTTTGACTTTGATTGAAAAGCAGCTCCAGTGAGGGTTACCCAGCACTTCAAACCTACACTTGCACACCCAAGATAAGCCCAGGTACAGAGGGAATCGGTGTTAACCCAGAAATAATGCTAAGCACAATTTGAAAACAACTAAAATGCATACTCCATAAAAATCAGTGGAAATGTATCACCAAAAGTGACCAGAAAAGAGCACGACACAGTGTATATTACATGCCAAAAAACACCATCTAAAAACAACAAAGTGGTAAAATGTCCAAATAAGGCCAACGTTGCTACTATGTGTATCTGTAAAAGCTGTTTGTGACTCAAACTGCTTCTTTAAAATGCACCAACATGGTTTCCCTTCACCAACTGACCTCAAATCTCAAACCAGTGCTTGACAGAAAATCAGTAAAAGTGATTTGTACCATGTCTTCAATGAAAATGAGCTCAAGACAACTGTAGCTGGACCAGTTGTTCCTATATGTACAGTCACACACTTCTATAATAACCTCATATGTCCAAACAGTGACAGTCTGAGGAAATTTGGAGAAATGACCTCTCAAGTTTCAGCGACGTCGAGTCTACCACTGCTGCTTGTTTAGTCTCGTAGGAACAAGCAAGTTGCTAAATTGACATTCAAGTCATCTACACCCATTAAAAACAGCTGATGACATCATCGTGTTTAGACATGTTGAAAGCATATGAATCACGTACCGTCAATCAGGAGGTGTATGTAAAAGTGTTAGACTGAGGACACGTTTGGTCTTACCAGGGTTAGATTCACATCGTGTGAAAGGATATGGGTTACAGACGACACGGAGACACCAGTTTCGAGGCCTCGTTGTTTGCTTCAGGCAGAAGAAGGCCATGGGGGCCAGGGCCGGGTACGGCTGCTGCTCCTCTTCCTCGGAGACACAGTCCGGATCCCGAATAGGAGCCGTGATGCGAACTCCCAGTGTTGGTCCGACTTCCACTTCCAGCTCCAGTTCTTGCCCCTCATGCTGCTCCTGAACCTCCGGACTCCATTCACCTCCACCTTCTACCCCCCGTCCGCTACAACTGCTCCTCCTCCTCCTCCTCCTCGTCCTCCTCCTCCTCTCCACCTCCTCGTCCTCCTCTTCATCACGGCCTCCGCAAGGGTCAACGTGGTGACCCGGGGCGTCGTTCCGGTAGGGCGTCGGTATAGCGAGCCTCACCTCCTCCTGCATCTCCTCCTGCTCCTGCCCCTCCTGGCACTCTGCATACTGAAAGCGCGCTCTCCCTTCGCCATCAGTCATGATAGAGCATCAGGCAGAGCCACTCTGAAGGGAGGTCAGACAGAGGAAGGTTAGAGAGAGGGACTACAATGTGATGAGGGAAGGCAGAGGAGAGAACATTCGCAAAGATGCGGAGAAACAGTGACAGAAAGAGAAGAGGGTGAAAGAGGGAGATCAACTCAGCAAAGAGCCGTTGGAGACGAATCACACAATGAGCCAAATAAACACTCAGAATATTTCCTCCTCCGATCCCTCAGCAGCAAAAGTACTCGCTTCCAATCAATCTACACACAGATTTTCAATACTGGTTTACTAACCTGGCAGCGCTTTATTTCACAAATCTCTTTTGTCAGTTCACAACATTTCCCTCTGTCTGTCTCTCCCTGCGCTTGAACAAAAGCTGCACTATCCCTATGAGGGAAAATAAAATGATCACACAAAACTGAGAGTCTCTGTGGAATATCACAAAAATATTATTTGAATATGATATGTGGGGTACAGTAGACTCGCGATTTAGCCACACAAAGGAACAATTACTTGCTGTTTCAGTGACACCCAATAGTTAGAAACACAAATTTTATCCAGTAAAAAAAAAAAAAAAGAAAAGGTATCAACAAATGTTGTGAGCACCCCAGTATTATATTGTCATATTATGGGAATAGTGGGAATTTTTTTTTTTCCCCACTGTCTCCCTCTCTCTTCCTGTTGCTATGTGATTGAACAGATGGACTGCTCTGTCTCTGGTTTACTGGAGCTTTTTAGCCCCCACCACGCATTGGTGGGCAGGGAATGCGCAAAAAGAAAAAAAAGAAAAAGAAAAAGGAAAACAATAAATGCCCCATTAATCCTGATTATTGTAATAAGTAGAATAACATCGACAGCATCAACATTCATAATCCAGCTAACAGACTTTTCTCTTTCAAGGGCTTCTTTTTTTTTTCTTTTTTTTTTTAATGGGCTTTGTTTTCCCTTCGTTTGCCTTTGCAAGAGAAAAGCGCATCTGACGCTGGAGGCAGTTGTATGCTCTCCTGAAGGAATCGTATGAGAGAGGAGGAAAATATTAAACACGCTCTCATCAGAATAGCCGCTGAAAAGTATTTACACGCGCATTTCTAACGGTGTGAAAGGGAATAAAAAGGGCATGGGGGGAATGGAGCGCCCATCACCTGTGTTTGTCGTTGTTCAAAAGTGGACACAAAAGATACTAAAACATGACAGGCAAGAGGAGCAACTTTGTTCTTTTAAAATACCTTATCGAGACGGAATCGGAAGTTCCCATAAGCATGATCCGTGACTTTCCGTGTTTCTAGCGCACCCAGCCTTTCTCAGCAACCCGGAGCTTTCCTTTCCTTTCCTTTCTTTCTTTCTTTCCTTCCTTTCTTCTCCCTCCTCGAAAAATAAATCTCCTTATTTCTTCAGCCTTTTCACAGATCAAAGGTAATCCGGTAAAAAAAAAAAAAAAAAAAATCACTGGAAGTAATCAAAGAATCACTTGAAGTGCTCTTGGTTTGCGCGTTGGCTTAAACGGGAACGTCTATCCACATCCATGCCTCCATCCATCCGTCCATCCTCGCTGAGGTGTCGCTTACGCAGCGTGGAGCGGAGATGCGCGCGCGGGGAGGGTCGGACCGTGTGGGTTGCTGTGCTGTAGCTCCGTGAGATGATCTGACACGGGAAAAACTTGGCCCAGGACCCGGGAGCCCTGACACGTGACGTGATGTCCGGCTGTGGAGACGTAGCGCACAGTGGGAGACACACACTGACATGCGCGCGAAAAAAAAGAAAAAATGGCACCAAGAGCCAAGCTGGGCGCGCCGCGCACGCACCGCGGTGTTTCATGCATCACCATGCAGTCAGCAGCAGATAATGGAAACGGTATGAAAAATATATAAGCCTGTACAGTCTGTTAGTGTAAGCACATGAACAAAGGATCATAGTTATTATTAATAATAATAATTATATTAATAAAAAATGTATATTGTTATTATTATTATTATTCTGCTTATATTGAGATCAGGCAACTTCCCATTATTTTCCCATAATATTCTATTACTATTACATGCTATGATGTTCCTCCAATTAGTAAATGGCTGTTTTATAAACACTGTGGTATAGGGAGCTAAATGGAGATTAATTGTGTGGACATCTACAATGTTTTCACAATTTTTTAAAATATAACTATCAATATAAATATCTGTCCAACTGTTAATAGTTGGCACATGTTGGGCTGACTAAACCTGTCTGGGTTTTGGATTTCATCATGAGACAGAGGCGCAGGCAGGTGGCAAAAACTGAACTGCAAAGCCATGTTGAACAGTGGCCACAGGTGGAATTGCAGGACAAGTGACCCCCAATAGCCCCAAAGGACCCCCCCCCCATGCACAAAAAACACAACTGGCCGTTTCTGAGCGTCACAAAAACTCAAAATGACAGTTTGATCATTAGATAAAAGGAAAATAAAAAATCTCAGTATCATTGAAGGAATCGTCGGTTGATCGATTTAGTCTGTAAAATCACTTTGAGTAATGAGGATTAGGTCCAGATGAGCCACTTTGAATGACTTGGATCTGGTCTGGATTTATAATTATTTTCCGCAAAAGCCAGTGAGCCAGTCATTGAAATGAATGAGCCGTCTTGGAACACGACATCTACCCAACATGAGAAGGAGGAGTTTTCTACTGAAGCAGCAAATGTTAGCAAGCTAAAAGACAACTGCACCACCATGAATCTTACATGTTACATTACTACACCCATCACTGGCAAAATACGTACAGTACTTCCAAGGAAAATGTCTTTTTTTTTTCTCCTTCGTGTCGCAGTGAACATGTGAAATTAAAGCCTGTGAAATGGCAAACTGAAAAGTTGGCGTTTTAAAATCGCTTGTTTATGCATTCGTTCATAATCAACATTATCTTTCACATTTTGTTCTGTATATTTGTCATGGTTCAGTGCCTGTGTTCAATCAGGCAACTGCTCTTTCTGTGCCGCGTCAACGTCTTTATAGGCAATTTGATTTGACAATCAATTTAAATTCCCATGCTCCCTGGACGATCGATCACAAATGCATACTTTATATTTAATGAAGAGTGTTTTAGTGTGATAAAGAGAGGACGAGATGGAGGGAAAAGGAGGCGGAAAATCACAGACTGAAAGAGACGGAGGTTTATAGTGGGGTAAAGTTTAGGGGCGTACATTTGGATCCTGAGCAGCCCAACTGCCAGGGCCCACTCTGCTGAATGCTGCTGACATCAACACCACAGGAGGAACCTGCCAGAAACCTGACAGTAATTGACATCAGGATGGGGAGAATGAAAATAATTCAAAGCTTCCCTCTGGGATTAAATCCCTCAGGTTTCATTTAGATCTGACAGCTGATTGGATGAAAAATCTGACCAGTCAAATGTGGTCACAGATGAATGACAAGCTGCATGTCATTTCGGGCACAACGAGTTCGCGGGACATTTTCAAGGGGGACAAAGAAATCCTCCGTGTGTTCCTGGTGGATCGCTCACTCTGGAACACCACACTTACACAAAGGAACCAATAAAACTGTTTTCACGACCAGTGCTGCTTTTGTTCCCACTGGACACCAAGGAGGGGGAGCGGTGGAAGACTACAGCTAGAAGTCAATGCAGAAACTGTGAGAAATAAGCCTACGTAGTTACTCATCTGAAATAGACCTGACAGCACTGGCTTGAGTTAATTTTTTTATTATTAATATTTAAGTTTTAATGTATAATAATAAAAAACAATAACAATAATAATAATAATAATAAATATTATTATTATTATTATTATTATTACGTTTTATCATTTAAAATATCCTGTATTAAAAACAGCTCATAAATCAAATCAGAAGATCAGTCTTCTTACTTACTCACACACTGCTGTTGCTAAATTATGCAAAAATAATCTATGTTCACTGAGCAAGCTATCTATTGGATTGTTTTGGTGTGTGTGCTCATATCTCATATTGGACAGGTATAGACCAGCAGGCCAATCCCCCCACAACCTGATGTAATCCTTTAATCTATGTGTTTATCCATACAAAGGGATATAAATCTACATATTCTTCCTGATCCTGTTGTTCATATTACCAGGTAACCTTATAGTGATTTATCAAACTGGTGCAATAATGTGATTTTTCATTTTCGTCTACAAATTAAATAAAAATTTAAAAGATAAATGTAAACATGAAATAAATTTTGATGAAATTTTTTGTCCTGAAATCAGAAATATCTGCTTCACCAATGATGCAGAAGTCAGGCCCATACCGTTTTTATAGTTATGTCTTGCAATGGAACATGCAAACTTTAAACATGGTGATATATAATTGCTTCTCACAACTAAAAACAAAGGCAAAATGTTAGCTGAGTCAGATCAGATATGAAACGTCATTCCCACCCAAGACACAAATCCTTAGTCCCCAATTATAATTTGTATTTCTTCAACACGCTGCCAAGTGGATCAATGTAATCAATCCATTAAAAGCCCACATCACCAAAGCAGCAGTCACCTTCACAACGGTCTTTAGGCTGGGAGTCTCGAGATGGGTAAGAAAATATTTCAAGTTTAGCCAAACTTGTAGCAGCTGAGCTCTTTGATCAGTTTAACGTGTTACAATAAGATCTGTTGTAATCACGCCGCCAGTATTTCAGTCTTCTTTGAACAGCGTTTCCTTACAGCTATCTGGTGCAGTTCACGGCTCACTCTGAAGCATCAGCCACACTGGAACAAACTGACTGAATAAATGCTGGGCACACGGATGTGAAGCCGCTGCCAACCTTCTCGTTGCACAAGGCTAAGCTGATCAAAATAATCATTTGCCAAAAGGTTGATGTTCTCCTTCAAGACCCTTGGCAGCGCAGCCATGTCGCTGAAAGCCAATTAAGGAGTCGTTTGAAGCGGAGGAACTGAAGGGACAATGGAGATGCGCCTGGGTTTTTATCAAAAAAATGGTGAACTTTAATAATGTTTAATCTGTAGCTGTTAGAAAGGAGGATAGCGGAATCATTTATTTGCACGTCCCAGGGTCATTCACGGCTTTGAAAGGAGCAACCATCCTTGCTGAATCACCGTTTCCTGTTATCGGTCTGTGGAACAGGACGGTATCCAAAGTAAAAATCCATCATAAAGACTTGCTGGTCCTAATAGGAGAAAAATCCTGTACGTGTGTGTTTGTGTGTGTGTGTGTGTGTGTGTCCAATCATTCTCAGCTGTGAGCAAAAGCGGGCAGCGTGCCGACAGACCGAGCTCCGCAGCACCCACCCCTCTGACACCTGTCTGTCTCTCCCCCGTTCTGCCTTTCCATCACACACAGAGTTGGAGCTCATATCCTCATTACTGTAGGCTTGGCCCCAGAATGGCTCCCATGAGGTTTTTTTTTTTTTTTTTTTTTGCTAACGTTGGCTCCAGTTTCCACTTCTCTCTCTCTCAGCTGTGTGTGCAAAGCCTGAAAGCCTGGTTTGAATTTGCCCAAGGCACCTCTTACCAAATGATCTTCTCCACCAAACCTCAGCAGCATGTTCTGCCTCAGAGAAGAACAGTATCTGACTTTGTCCGCTCGCTCTTCTTCTGTTACACAAGAAAGTCGCCCCTGAGCTTGCAACTTTACTGCTGATTTGAAAACACTTATATAAACGATGTACACTTAGGCGGAAACTCCACAAGGGGATAAACAACAGACTACTGTTATATCTTAAGGGAAGAAAACATCTCTCTTCACACACTGTATTTAATTCATTTGTACAGTACATATTGCCACCAGTCTAAATCAATAGGAATGCCTGTGCTTCTCACAGATAATCAATACTCCTCCGTCAGCCTGCACTCCCTGCCTTCCATTCCCTGGCTGTCCCGACCACTTCCCCATCCCCCCATCCCATCATGCCCCATCCTCCCCTCCACTCTGACTCCCACGCTTTCATCATCCAGCCTTTTCGTCCTGCTTTTCTCATCTCCTTCTCATCAGCGACCATCACTCGATCCTACTAAGTGGGATTTTTGAAGTGGAGTAACAGAGAAGACAGCCACTGCGCACACACGAAGTGACGAAGTGTTTTCATTTCAAATTCCATATAAATCTGAAAGAATAGAAACCATTTTTACAGAATGAGAAGTAAATTAAATCAGCATTTTCTTAATTTTTCTTTTTATATACAGCACACTATATCATTTCGAAAAAAACAAATCTTCATGTGAATTATGATATAAGGGGTATCGTGTTTGGTCGTAGTGCCATAATTATGACTGAACTACATTACATAATGGTACAAAAGGGTTTAATCTGTGAGAGGAAAAATGACTGTACACATCAAGGAAA